GGAGATGCTGCGCCAGCTTCGCACTATCTCATCTACAGTTTCTGATCTCAAATCAAACATGGAAGTGTGTAATAAAAGAATTTCGCAACTTGAAGATTCCATGGTTTGCGAAAACATCACACATTCTCATTCTGAAATCAAGCAGATTCCGAACGGGACGATGACACACTTTCGATTTTGGCGGGAAACGACAATCCCTTGAACTGCGAGGACTTTGAGGCTATTGAGCCACCAGAACAGGCTATTAAGCCACCAGATCAGGCTATTAAGCCACCAGAACAGGCTATTAAGCCTCTCAACTCTACCACACAACAAAATCCTTGTCTCGATACCGATGGCGATGATACACGAGGCACGACAAATCGACAAACAATGGATGATAGTAAATCCACCGAGGGTCAATCAAGTTTTTACGACCCCGAATCCGTGACGACCTCGTGGTCACCATCCTCTGAGTTTAACGACTTTCTAGAAAAGAATTTCCGAAGGAAACTATACTTTGATCACATTTGTGATATTTTAGAGGATCAAGCTATTCCGCAAGTCGATGCACTGGTCGCTCCTACTCTAAATCCTCCAATGTTATCTCATATTTCTTATCATGACAAAAGGTTTGTTCAGGAGAGAGACAAAGAGCTCTCAGTTGTCCAACGCGCCATGTTAAACATCACAGGTCCATTATGCACATTACATGACCGTTTAGAGAATAACATTCCTGTTAACCCTACAGATCTCAAATTACTTGTTGAGCAATCACTATGTCTTTTAGGTTCGGCTAACACGCAATTATCCATACTGCGTCGCAAGAAGGTACTAACGTCGATTAACAAATCAAAAGTTGATTTGGCAAACCAGCCCTTACCAAATGCCAAAAGGTTGCTTTTCGGACCTGACTTTCCCACCCTTGCATCTAAAGAAGCCGAATTATCGCGGGGCTTGGCAAAAAACCTGGCACCCACGGTCCCCCGATTATATAACCAGGACTCTAAACATTCGAGCAGAAGCTTTCCCTTGTCAGGAAAATACAAAACTCCAAACAAGCGGGGTCGGTTTTTTCGTCCCTCCCAGTCTCGTTTCCAACGGCCGCCAAATTACCAAGCCACTTCAAACAGTGGCAAGGTCTGACAGCAGACCCATATATTCTAGAGATTGTTACCGGTTTAAAGATTCCTTTTCGTTGCGTTCCTGTTCAAAAGACTGCACAAATAACTCAGATTCGCTCAGAGTCAGTAACATTTATAGACAAAGAAGTGTCCGACCTCTTGATCAAGGGGGCAATTTGCAAAGTTCCCTTTACCAAGGATGCGTATTACAGTCGCATGTTTCTAGTTCCCAAAAAAGACGGCGGTATGAGACCAGTCATAGATCTGAGCTCACTAAACCAGTACATAGATGCTCATCATTTTCAGATGGAGCATCTCTCCTCGATAAAAACACTTCTACAACAGGGTTATCATATGACAAAACTAGATCTAAAGGATGCTTACCTTTCAATCGCTATTCACCCACAATCTCAAAAATACCTTCGGTTCTGTTGGAAAAACAAAACCTATCAATTCAAAGCTCTCCCTTTCGGTCTCAATATAGCTCCAATGATCTTCACTCGAGCGGTTAATGAAACCGGTTGCGAGTTATTTAGGAAACGAGGCGTTCTGCTAATAGTTTACCTCGACGATATGTTGATCATAGGGGCAACACCGGAGGAGACAAGCCGATTCACGGTGATGGCAGTACAGTTATTGGAGTCCCTAGGATTTATAGTCAATCAGGAGAAATCCATCCTGTCTCCGACTCAGGTAATCCAATTTCTGGGGTTCATTATCAACTCGAACGTAATGATCATCTCCTTACCTCAGCAAAAGATAAACAAAATTCGAGAGCTGTGTCAACAATTGCTGAAAACAGGGAAACATACATTAAGGAGCATAGCTCAACTGTTGGGTGTGCTAGAATCTTACTGCCCAGCAATTTGGAAAGCTCCCCTTCATTTCCGTTTCCTTCAACCTCTACTTATCCGCAACCTTCACAGCTCAAACCACAATTACGAAGTGAAAGTTTGTCTTCCAGACAAACAGAGAGCGGAAGTCCAGTGGTGGCTTCGAAATATTACGACTATCAATAGCAGCCCAATTATAATACCACCCCCGGATGTAACAATATTTTCCAATGCCTCGAAACTGGGGTGGGGAGCAGTCAGCAGCACCAATCACACCAACGGGAAATGGTCAGCCACAGAGAAGTTGTTACACATCAATATACTCGAGCTGAAAGCTACTTTTCTCGGCTTGAAAGCCCTCTTGAAGAACAATTGGGCAAGGACTGTGTCACTGAACATGGACAATTCCACGGCCGTTGCCTATATAAACCACAAGGGCGGCACGTACCCACTCGTTACAGTTACTAGAGCTGACATTACAACTTTGGGATTGGTGCAATCAGAGAGACCTTTTTGTCATAGCTCATCACCTTCCAGAAAAGACCAACATTCAAGCAGACCTCGAGTCCAGACAATTTCTGGACAACAGCGACTGGATGGTCGATCCAAAAATCTTGAGACCATTCCTGAAAGACTGTCGAACGGACCTCTTTGCCTCTCGACTCACACGACAACTGAAAAATTACATCAGTTGGAGACCGGACCCAGAAGCCCAACATTGGGATGCCTTCACGGTCAACTGGAAAGGACTTGCGGGATATGCCTTCCCACCGTTCAACTTAATCCCTATGGTGCTCAAAAAAGTTATGTCGGACCAAACAGAGATCATCTTAATCGCGCCGATTTGGCAAGCCCAGCCTTGTTGGCCCTTACTAATCAGCCTTCTCGTCGAACAACCGACTCTTCTACCAAACAACAAACATCTCCTGATAGACCCATCGAACCTTTCTTCGATTCATCCAATGTATCCACGTCTACATCTGGGCGTATTTCACATCTCAAACGACGATACCAAGCAAAAGGCCTTCCTGAACACGTTAGCCGACTACTCATTTCAGCAACTCGTAGTTCCACACGCAAAACCTACGAATCTAGTTGGCAGCGTTGGAGCCGCTGGTGTTCTACGAGGAAAATTAATCCAGTTTCAGCGACCTTGAACAACATTCTTACCTTTTTGGCTGATTCATTTAATTCAGGTTTAGAGTATCGAACTATGAATGTCCTCAGATCAACTTTGTCATCAACCCATCCCCGAATCGACAGTTATCTTATTGGGCAACATCCATATGTTATAAATCTGATGAGAGGTGTCTTAAACAATCGTCCTCCAAAGCCTAGATATACCCACACATGGGATGTTCATTCAGTAACAGCGTACTTTAAGCAAATGGGAGAAAACACCACACTCAAATTAAAACAGCTCTCTTTGAAGCTGGCAACCCTCTTCACCTTAACTTGCCAAAAAAGAGTCTCGTCTCTCTCTAATTTTGACCTCAATCACTACAAACTTTCTCCAGAGGGTCTAACGTTTACATTATTTACCACAAAGACAACTCGACCGGATGAAACCGTTACGCCATTTTATACTTGTTTTCCGGATGACAGTAGGTTATGTCCAGTGGCATGTTTTAATCATTACATTTCAACGACAGCTGAATTTAGAGAAACTTCAAAAGAACAACCCAATAAGCTGTTTCTTTCATTTATTAAACCTCATAAACCAGTTAGTTCAGCAACACTGGCTTGCTGGATTCGTTCAATGCTAGGTCCGGCTGGTATAGACACAAAAATTTTTAAAGCACATTCAGTCAGGGGAGCAGCAACTTCGGCAGCTGTCAATGGATCTGTTCCCTTAGACGAGATACTGAAGATGGCTGACTGGAATAAAGAGTCCACGTTTCGTCAGTTCTATTACAGACCTATAGCATCGACATCAAACTTTGGTCGTGTTGTGTTAAATTAATCATATTATAGTCTTTGGACTGATAATTTTCTACAGAGAGTAATAAAACAAGTTTAAATACGAATTACTGTTGTAGTGTTGAACTCTACCACTTGTATTCTCATATATTTCGACCGGAGTTCCCGAAATATAATTCGAATTATACAAGGGCTGCTCCAGCCTGCAAGTATAATTTCGGTTATATGAGGGAACGAAGGGAGAAATATATGAGCCCTCCCTTAATCCCTCCCATTGTTCATGCAGGGTTAAATAAGCCACAGCAGGATCATGGGACAGGTCAGTTCAGGGGGGGTAATACCAAATATTTTTCAGGGTTAAAAAAGTGATGTGAAGCACAGATTGGTATGCCATACCGCTTGTATTCTCATATATTTCTCCCTTCGTTCCCTCATATAACCGAAATTATACTTGCAGGCTGGAACAGCCCTTGTATAATTCGAATTTTGTTTCTACTTTACTATGTATGTCGTCAGCCGGAAATAATTAACCATGCATTTCCCAATCGAGCAGGGTACTGAGTCTAGTAGCGAACCGCAAAGCATTTATGGACTGTATAAATATTCGTATTACACTTAAACTTAAACTGTGCATCGAGAGACAAATGATTTCAGACCTATATTTCCTGTCTCTCCAAACAGTCCATAGATGTTTTGCGGTTCGTTACTAGACCCAGTACCATGCTCGATTTGAAATGGCTAATATAAATACGTAAATATCGATCACATGATTGCACTGCAAACGTTAATTTTATGGGAAATCGTTGGAAATCTGTCTTGAAAGTTTCTTAAATGTCATATTAATTAGGCGAAAAATACTGATATTAATAAAGAAACAAAATAAGCCTTGTTTAGTGGTCGTTTGTGCGCAAGCCGTTTTTTATTTGACGTGACGGCCGTTTTTTATTTTACCCGCAAAGCAGGGCCGTAGCTAGATCGCTTGATTGGGGGGGTGTATATTCATATATTCATGTTTGCATACCGTAGGAACAATAGCATACAAAAGAAATCATTCGGGCATAAGACGAATATATGAATATGCACCCCCCCAATTAAGCTTCTAGCTACGACCCTGCGCAAAAGTAAAAAGTGACTATATACTAACCATTTCCAATGTATGCGGACCGTATGGATTGACCGCGATAACTTTAATAAGTTCCGGACAATCCAAAGTTTTCAATTTTTCGACCAGTTTTATAGCTTTGAATGGTATGTATTCTAGCACACAGATTTCTTTGTGTTCATTACCCTGCATGAAATGGAATGAAAAGTAGAGCAACAATAATATAGCTGCATTTCCTAAATTCCCCATGGTAGATTCATTTATCAAATGTGTAAATTAATTTTTTTTGCAACAATCCTAGATGATGCTATGCCTATATACCCTCATTTCATTGACTTTGTTATTAAAAAACATGTATATATATATATATATATATATATATATATTCATATTATATATTATATATATAAATATTATAATATATATATATATACATATATATATATTATATATATATATATATATATATATATAAAAATATATATATATATATATTTATATATATATATATATATATATACCTAGGAAATATGTCTGTGACTTAGTTTTCGACTACATTGTTTACGCGCGCGGTCAGCTTTATACTGACTGTACTATATATTGATAAGGTTGGCGACTTAATTTCGAAGAAAACAACTAAACTACTAGCCATTTCTTTTGTCGTAAACGACACTGCAAGTATCGAAGAATCGGCACATTTTTTTACAAATTTGCTAAATTTTTTGTTCTGACCATGCATGCGGGATGCAAATTGCCTGATAGCAGCTTTTGAGTTTTGGTTTGAATCACAAAGGCATTATTTTATTGCCTTTTAAAATTTACGAACTCTACGAAAATTTACGAAAATTTACGAAAGTTTACGAAAATTTACGAAAATTTACGAATATTTACGAATATTTGCGTAAATTTTCGTAAATTTTCGTAAACTTTCGTAAATTTACGAAAATCTACGAAAATTTACGAAAATTTACGAAAATTTAGTAAAGGTATCTTAATATTTACCTCAATTTAACTTTTTCTCGAGTACGAGTCAGTGTAAAGCTGACCGCGCGCGTAAACAATTGTAGTCGAAGACTCAGTCACAGACAGATTTCTGGGCTTCCTATGTACATACCTCCAGTTTCCGTTTCATTGCACACAAAACTGGTCCATAATGAGAAGGATCTGCATTGTTGTATCCATCCTAAAGAAGAGATTTTTATAGATGAAAGTCTGGATCAATGAAAAGGAATTTAACTGGGACATAACGCAGATGCTTATGCATGATGGCATAGATAAATGATGGACAGGTGTCCATCTCAGCATAAAAATGTCCGGCCAAGGCAGCCATCTTGCTTGCAAGTGTTTATTGCGTGATATTGCGTGATATACGTCATGATCTCTGCCGTTTCACTAATGTTTTGGCATTTGCGGAGATGACAATTCATTTAAAAATAAATTTATTATTATTGAAACAGGTAGAGTGGTAAAATCTGCTACCGGGATTCTCCCGCGTTCTTTTAATTTTTTGTACCACGTGATCAATCATTTTTGCAGCGCGTGATGGCTATTTTTCACTGGACGAGTTGGTGAACAACAAACTAATGTTTAATAAGCAAAGTATAATAAGCATGTTTAAAGCATGTATAATAAATTTAAAGGCGAGATTATCGACTCTGTGTTAAAAGCTTGCGGTGACAGTACGAACGGATATTTTCCGGGGAAGCACCAGCGACATTCTTAGTTTTTTATTTGACCGTCATACTTATCATTAGGATGTTTTTCAATATTTCCGCAAAAGCAAGGCAGAAGTGCATTCTTTTGGGTATGGGCAATTTAAGCGATTATGTCCCTCTTTACGGTCACACTTGCTGCAACACGAAAGAGTTCCAGGTAAGGGTTCTTTCCGCTGTATATAATCTGCTAACTCCTGCTAAAGTATTTCAATTTTTGACCCTTGATTGTCTATTTCTCCTTTCTGGTGTGCTATATACGATTCGAGAGGACGGGAAAAAAGAGGACGGAAACTTAACCTATTTTTTGCAGGTTTATCCTTTGTCTCAGTTTGTACACAATTTTGATCATCAACATCGAGATCAACATCATTACATCATTAGCTTTTGTGGCTGTTTTCTGCCCATCTCGAGCAGTTATTTTATGACTTTTTTTCGTAATAGTACACGCATTCGTAATAGTACACGGATTCGTAATAGCCCTAGGTTGTTTTAATTCTAATGTGTTGTCTATTAATATACAAAACTTGATGAAACGTTATCTTCTTCATGATTTGTATTTGCTGCTCGAGTAGCCGTCTTTCGCCTAGTTTTAAGCATTAATTTCCTCTAAACATTACATCAATGTCACCTTTTCCATTGCTTGCACAGAAGCCATGGTAAAAAACCATTTTACTCAATATTTTTGTACAAATGCTCTAAGTTTAGACCATTTCGTTGTAGGAGTTGTCCTTAGAAACGTCGCCATCGCGTCTGTTTCGAAAACAGTGTCTGCCTCGCAAAAAATATTGATCATGCAGGTGTTACAAAAAATTCAGTACAAGAGCGCGGGAGAATCTCGGTAGCACATTTTACCACTCCACTTGTCTCACTAATAATTTATATCAATTAAAAGCCAACAAATTCCTACTAAAACGGCAGAAAGAGTAAAAAATTCACAGGCAGCCCGCAGCCATCAGCCCAGCAAGTGTCATGGCATGTGCATGACGTGTACATTTTGGGAAGATTTGAGGACACAAATTTGAGGACAAAATAATTTCTAGTTACTGTTATTTGCAATCAAAGTTGCGGATATCGTATGTGAGTGCAGATTCTATTTTTTTATCTAATTAACATAAATCGTACCTCAAAAAATTCATTGCAATGGTATTTTTCATTCCAAACGTGTTCTGCAATTGAAAAGTAATTCACGACAGTTGTACAATGGTGAGAGGTGTAAATTCACGTCCGTAAATATATTTGTGTAGCGCCAGTTGTTAAGGTCACAACTAGTCTACTAGATTTGGCATAGTTTCATTTTCTGATATGAATTTATTTAAATGTTGAAGGTTTTTCGGAAGAATGGACCTAACTGGAAATAAACGTTTTTGAATCACCGCTTCGAATAAATGATAACAGCAATGGCTGCATAACCTCAAATGGAAGCAGATAATGTTGGATTCTTCATGGGTATGGGAAGCGAATGAATATAGTTTAGAAACAGAATATATTGAAAAAAATTTAAGAACATATTGAAAAGAAAGAACCGTGAAAGTACCTAAAACATCTAGATGGGCAAAGGGAAAATCGTCATCATCGTCGATCTAACAAAATTAAAGAAAAATTTAGCATTAAATTGGGACACTGGTAAGAAATAATGAAATTGAAATTACTAAGGTGTTTTAAAATTTCCTTTACGTGAATATTAATTAGCCCAATGAAAATCTTTGAACGAAAAGCCAAATTTACTATTGTGTTGAAAAATTAATAAAACCTCTATACCAACCCCTGGGTTGTAATTTTCTGGATTTCGATCTTCTTTCTCGAGGATTATCTCCGGAGGAGCAGAGATCTTTTTGGATGGCTTTGTATTTTCTAGGAATTAAAAGCTATACAAATTAGTAAGTTACGATGAAGGATTTGTATAGGTAATCATGCGTTGTCGATCATAAAATAGACCTTTTCCCTTTTAGCTTTGAAGCGCGCAATGCGTGACGGAAGTTGATTATGAAGGTCAATTTTAGTTGTGATTTCGCCATGCATGTTGAGGAGCGATTTAGTTCAACAAAGGAGCAAAAACAATCAGTAAGGTTTTTAACAAACAAAATCGCTTCTAAGCAGAGCGATATTGCAACTCAAAGTTACTTGATAATCAACTACCGTCACGCATTGCGCGCTTGAAAGCTAATAAGGGAAAGGTCTATTCAGGATTTATATTGCGAGTGATGTTTGAAAATTTTGCCCTGGCGACTCGTCCAATTTCAGGACATAATGTATCGAACAATGTACCAGCAGCATGATTATTTGTTTATTTTTTGTCTGATAAAATCGAATTTGTAGCGCCTTATCTAAACTCGCAAAATATTACCGCCCACCATATTTTCCGGGAAAAGGGCCTGCGGAGGAGGTAGGGGCTTTATCGCATTAATTATAACAACATAATTAATTGTACTGCAGTACAATAAATAATCGTAATAGAACAATTAGCAGTGCAAAATCATAGACTGTTTATACAGTCAAGCGGGAGATTGATTTGCTAACCACGAGTATGATTTTGCATTAAATGCACGACTTAACTCTTTTAATACTTATCAATTATATATCTTCTGTAATCAAAAAAGGACAAAAATACAATTTAATTTCAATAAATTTTGCCACAACATTACCAAAAATTACTGGCAAAATGGCTGTCGCTGTTGCATTAATTTGCATTCCTTCCCACCAACTTTTAAGGCCGGTTTACACTAGCAAAGTTTGTGTGCCCAAAGTCTGTGTTCAAAATCTTCGTTCGAAGAACTTCAAAGTGACCGACGTCTTCGAAAGATGTTTGCATTTTGCAATTATTGATTACAGAAGATGTATAATAAATCAATAATGAAATATATGTTTTTCCTTTCGACCAATTAGCAGCCCGTAATTTTATCGTGCAAATAATGAACATTTTATCAAGCATAAACTATTTATGAAAATATATACCGAGGGGAGTTGAATTATAATTAAACGTCGAGAGATCGTTCAACTAAGCAGACTAGCTACGTACTTATTTGACTGCGAAGGAGTCCTTCAAGTTCTTCTGGCGAGGCTCTAGATGAATAATTATCTTGAAGACATTTTTCTATTATGATTGAGCGGTATATGGCTTTGGGAATACAAGGTTCTCGTCCTAATTTTCCTCCGCGTATTACCTGTAAAATTCAACATCAATGAGATTAAAAATGTGACCAATTATAAATAACATTTTCTTTTCGTATGAAACATAATTTCTTTTCGTATGAAACATAAGGTATAAAAAGTATGGAGTATGTTTGTCAAGGAAAGCTTTACACTTACAAAAATTCTTGCTTCGAGCGAAGTGAACGGTTTTCTTTTGAAATCCTCGTGTTCTGAACATGACCCGTGGTGGTTGTAAGGAACGCAACCCAAGGTCAGCAATTCATAAAGAAAGACACCAAAACTCCACGACACAGTCTTCCGATTAAGAGATTCAAATCGAAGTGCTTGCGGATCCATCCATTTAAAATGTCGTTTTTCGACGGCCTTCTTCACTCCAGATTCCTTTATCTGTTCCCATGTTCGACTGAACTGAAACCCTGTTAACTTTGCAATATTTCTTTCATGGAGAAGAACATTTCCCGCCTGCACTGCCAGATGAAGAATGCCCATCCGTTCTAAATATTTTAACGCATCTGCAATGTTCACAGCAATCCACAACAGCTCCGTCAACGTAGGCCCAAGTGCATCGGATCGGCGATTCCTTAGGTAGTTCAGCAGATTTCCAATTGAGACAGGCTCTAACAGCACACACTTGACACGCTCGTCAAAATCAATAAGCCGTATGATGTTTGGATGTTGCAACTCGATTAAATTTTTGCATTCGTATTCACAATAACTTGGTCGTGAGCCAAGACGCTTGTTAAGAAGTTCGGCCCGCGTTTCCCTGTAGCACTTTACAATTACCTCGAAGCCGTTGGCATACGCGGAAAAAATCCATGAGTGTTTCCCGCCGTGAAGTCTCCTCTCGATTGCACTAAGTGCCAAATCCTTGCAAAATTCAAGTCTCTCTTTACACATCTCTTCCGTATCTGTAACTAATTCTTTGAAAACTCCTTCTAATAAGAAGCTCCGAGTGTTCATATCTTGACTGAAAACTAGAACTCGTGCGCGTTGTTGAAATATGCCCATACAATCGTTAAGTTTCTTTTTTTGCAGAACAGAATATAAATTGCATAGACCATTGATTGCTTTTTTACGTGCAGGATCTGTCCAAAGAAAGCCAATAAAAACTTAATATACAAACTATATCACACTGAGATACATAAAAAAATGGTATATCACATTGGGTGATTGAAAGATCAAATTCGTTTTCAGTCGTTTTGCTGGGGTTACATGCGAAGATGAAGAAACTCAGTTTTTGTTCGTATGAAACGGTCAATAAAACACAATTTGTAGCGCTACACCGCATATAAATAATGACTGCATTCCGTAAGTCAGAAGTGAATTGCATCCGAACTTTATGTCATAACAAAAACAATTTGTATGCAGAATATATGTGACAAAATTGGTTGATTTTTACACCATTGCTAAGTTGTTTTTTTTTCAAATGACACCCATGAATGTACGCGTCATTCCGCTGGAAAATGAACGAATATTGCATGGTTTGGCAAAAAAGTCCAAAAAAGTCACATCTTTCCGCAGATGGGAATTGGACCGTTCTACGGAATTGAGCGCTCTCTAGTATTTCGTAAACCATACTACATTTATCCAAAACACTAATGACCTTGAATGTAAGAGATCGATTTTCAGTATAATTATTATGTATATGCGAACGTAGCTACATTTCTAACATAGGCCTATCGAATGTCCAAGTGCCACACAACTCATCTCTTTAACATGTTTCCTTCCCCAACAGTAAAAAATTAATATACATTTGACCACCAACCTTGAGATTCTCCTGTAATTTGAACTAGACTCTCAACAACAGTAACAACATATTTCCATAGATGACTCGAACCCATCTGATTTAAAGACGCTGATAACCAATCGATAACTTGCAAGAATGCTGTGAGAAGACCTTCATCGACCTGGCTCAAAACCTTAAAACACAACAAAAACGGAAATAAATTATCTGCCATACGTATATAAGTTTGAAAATAGTACTACAGTGATGGAAATGAAATTCGATCACCAAAGTTGTCAGTATTGAATGCTATTCCACTGCATTTATAATTAAGACTTTAAAACTGATATGATATACATATAGATACAATATCCCGGCCTTTCAAACAAGGAAGGGTGTATGACATTAGTGCATTGGGAGTTTTTCGCTACACTAATGACTAATAATTCCTGGAAACTACAATAGTAATTGACCTAACGTTACCTGCATTTTAAGTGAAGATATCAACAGATAATGTTGCATCCAACATTTGCTTCCCAGATATTTATTTAGATTACTAGCCACCGATTGTTTTTGCGGATCTTTATTGATTTTTGCAAGTAGCTTGGCTACATTTATTATCTTCTTGTCTTTAAGCTTCTTAATGAATGCGGGAAGCAAACTGATTACGGTTTCCATATCTCGACGAACACGAGACATGCGCGAAAAGTTAGAAGGTTGCACGACCCTTTCTAAATTTGTCAGAAGACTCTTTAACGTTTTCTCGTCATCGAGTTGAAATGAATTTTGCGCCATAAGAGTCAGTAATGATGCATAGAGGCTAATTCCATTTACGAGTGTGTCGTTATTTTGAAGCAAGAATGCTCGTAGCTTCGACTCTGCCTGATATATATTACAGTCATCATTGTAGTTTACGCTGAGTGAGTTCAATTTAGTGTGAATTATCTCCTTCATTTTTTTCTTTTCTAATCCACGTTTTGCGTTGCAATATTCATCTATCATTAGATCAAGCCTCTCCGTTTTTTCGAAACTCGCGATTTCTTTTTTTCGATATGATATAGAAAAACGAAAACGATCATTCTCTTCAGCAGTTTCAGTTTCGTTGATTTCAGCACCTGCGAAAACATAGTACAAACCATCAGCACCTAAATTTGCATATTCCAAAATAAAATGATCCGACAAAATAAATTATCGAAGTTATTGAGAAATATCGAGGGGGAAAATTTATTATAGAACATTCATTATGGAAACCCAAAAAAAGAATAGTGAATAATGCTGTCAAACACTCCTGGGTCAGTACGGATAGGGGGGGGGGTCGTTATTGTGGCTGATACGAGAAATACATTAATGCATTAATCTTCTGGCCACGTCTAAGCAAGTAATATCCTTAGCGTGATTGACAAACGTTTGTCCTATAACAGAAACGATTTCGATTGATTTTTAAACTAAACGTTTTAAAATTTAAATTACTGTTAAATACAACCTTAGATGCTTCAGAATGACGTGGAAACAATGCTGTTTTCAAAATCTCACGCAGGGGCTTTGCCATGTAGGGCGCTGACTTTGGCGGGCGAGCGCAGGGCGACATTGCTATCGGTAAAGTTAGCAATGAAACAGAAACAGGGTTTCCCCTATACGTTGGAGGTTTGGCCAAAATTGGAGGTGTATTTCTCTTTCAAACTGGTATTTTTTTTACCATGATATAACCCTTGGTCAATGGCACTAAACGCTTTCATGTCATTCTTTATAAAAGCAACAATGTGTAATTTTGGCTGTCTCGCATGTGTTATCATAATTAGCATAACTTGACTATAATTTACTTTTGGCATACGTATGGCATAAGCGCGTTTAACACAAAGGGATCGAGTACTATAGAAGTATAAAGCGCTCAAAACTTGATTGTTTGGGTTAAATATCTAACCTAATGTGCACTACTATTATAAATTATAATACTAAATTTACATGATACATCACGGACATTACGTCAAATCGGGATATCGTCAATAACAAAATGTATGAATTGCGAAGTTTTTCAAAATATCCTAAAATTTGGATATATTCAAAACCCGCAATACCCCACACTCAAAACTGTATACCCCACACTCACACTCGAGATGTAAAATGCAAAAACGTAATAAAAAAGTATAAATACCTTTATCTGTGTGGCTATCATTTTACTTACCTTTCTTTTTTACTTCTACATTGTCAACAAGATCAAAATTTTCTATTGAAATGCAAAATGTGATATAATGTATAGAGTATAACCACCTAGCTTCTTAGTGGTTATGCATGTACAGGGGTGGATCCAGCACTAGTGCACTAAATTGCATGACACAAGAAAACTGCTCAAAATAGCCATTTTGTTTTGTAATGCAAATTAGTGCACTAGTGCTGGGTCCACCCCTGTGCATGTAAGACTTTCTAGCTCTATTTCACTCCCTTTTGTCTTCTTCTACTTCGTGATCAAAATTAAATAAATTGTTTCTATATAATACATCACATAGAGTGTATTTGTCGCTATAATTTAAGATACCTTTCTTTGCTTCTTCTTTATGAAACACATCAAGAGTTTCTATTTAAATTCAAAATATATATATTATATATATGATTGTTTCCTGTCCCTCAAACTGTCAAACAGTCCATAGATTTTTTGCGGTTGGCGACTAGACCCAGTACCCAGTTCGACTGGGAAATGGCTAATATGGAATTTATTTTTGTTTTATATTATTTTCATTTATTCTTTAGAAATGTATTGTTTTCACAGTCAGTGAACACCAAAATATTAGCATAGCGGGACAAATCGACAGGCTGGCTACTCTGCTGTGTATTATATACACCACTTGTCAAAGCACAGTTAATAGAATATAAATGGTTTGGAGATCACGTAAAACAACAATACAACTCATTCATACAACTCAACTATGTTGAGGTAGATTTACGCAAAAAATTGTACCTTTCTCATCACATGTCTATTGTATTTTGCAGAGATAAACCAATAGCAATCAAGGCAAGGTTGAGGAGCTTAGCAAGACAAATGCCATTGGTAAGTTTGGCAATAGACACGTGACAAGAAAGAAATCATTTTCTGCCTAAACCTAGACAATAACATAGTTAATGAGTTGTATTGTACTTTTATTTTGTCGCTAAAGCATGCATATTTTATTAACTGTGGTCAAAGGAAACCAAACAACAAGATAAACAGCGATATATTCATTCATAGAAAACAATTTCGAATAGAGAAATAGTGTAAAGGTCGTATGTCCAGTTGCGCTGCATTTGATTAAATTTGTTATTCCCCGGGTCGTGCGGGCGACATCAAATTTCGTCACTGTTTCGTGATTCGCTCTCGACCAATAAAACGCTATACGAACACCATACTTTGACAAATAGTATATAATAATCACCCTTATTTCTGTGGGTAATACTTTGTAACTATAATTCAACCTACCTTCCTTCTTAACTTTTGCTTCGTGACCAAGAACAGAAGTTGCTAGTAAAAATGCGAACATGTGATATAATGAAAGAATAAACGACCAATTTTATTTTTGTGGCTAGAATTTAATTATATATAACTATAATTTAATTCACCTCTGTGTTCTTCTTCTTCCCCGTGACTATGATGGATGGTTTCTATTAAAATGAGAAAATGTGAAATGCAATAAAACGAATAACCATAGCTTTATCGCCAGGGCTAGCTATATAAGTAATGCTTTGTAGCTACAATTGTACTCACCTTTCTTTTTAACTTTTGCTTTGTGGCCAAAATTACGAGTTTCTATTAAAATGCGAGAATGTGACTTAGGAAAAAGCATAACCAATTTTCTCTCTGCAGCTAAGTAATGCCTTAATGTGGTTAGAATTTATTTACCTTTCTTTTTTACGTCTTCTACATGATCAAGATCACGGTTTTCTATCAAAATGTGAAAATTTGATATAAGAAAAAGTATACCCACCTTTATCACCGTAGCTGAGTAATGTTTTGACTTACCTTTCATTTTTACGTCCTCTTCGGGACCAAGATCAAGAGTTGCTGATAAAAAATGCGAAAATGTGACAATAAAAATTGTGTAACTACATTTATCTCTGTGGCAAGCGTTTTGCAAGCGCACCAACCATTTAGAAGCGGGGAGGAGGGGCACTAATAAAATAGGGCACTTTCTCATAATAATAATCACATGTACCAAAATTAACCAAAAACTTCCATACACATATGAATTAAGACAGTTATAACGAAGTAGTTTCATTTAGCTACTTTTATTTTGCTACTTAAAAATCTCTGTTGAGATCATGTTCTCCTGTACTCCGTATTTTATTTTGCTTCATTATAATTTATTTACCTTTCGTTTTTACTTCTGTTCCGTGACGAAGATTAAGGGTTTCTATTAAAATGTCACATAAAAAATGATGACTGCACCTTTTTCGCTTTAGCTAAGTAATGCTCAGTAGCCAAAACGTTTCTCTACCTTTCCATTCAGCTTCTGCTTCGCGATCAATATCCAGATTTTCTATTAAAATGCGAAGATGTGAAGTAATAAAAATTACAATTACAATGCTTGGTATGGCTTTGCATAACATCACAAAAGTAAAGGAAAACCACCTTTATCTCTGAAGTTAATGCTTTTGTTGTAGCTATAATTTTATCTACCTTTCTCTTTGACTTCTGCTGTGTAACCAAGATCGACAGTTCCTATTATAAAATAGGATAATGTTATATAATAGAAAGTGTACCCATGCACCTTTATATCTTTGGCTAGGTAACGCTGTGTAGCTATTATTTCATCTACCTTTCTTTCTTACTTCTGCTTCTGCTTTGTGACCAAGACTATTAATGGTTTCTATGAAAAGGCGGAAATATTATATAAGAAAAAGTGTAACCACAATATTTCTGTGGCTAAAAATTGCACTCGCTTGTTACTATTATTATAAAACTACTATTATATGTGGCTATCAAATTTAATATACCTATTTTTCTTTGTACGCTCTCCCCCGTTGGTTGTTGGCGTAGCCAGCCTTACGATTTTGTACCACTATATGTAAATTTCGAGTTATTATAACTATTTATTCTTTAGAAATGTATTGTTTTCACAGTCAGTGAACACCAAATATTAGCATAGCGGGACAAATCGACAGGCTGGCTACGCTGCTGTGTATTATATATACCACTTGTCAAAGCACAGTTAAATGGTTTGGAGATCACGTAAAACTACAATACAACTCATTCATACAACTCAACTATGTTGAGGTAGATTTATGCAAAAAATTGTACCTTTCTCATCACATGTCTATTGTATTATGCACAGATAAATCAATAGCAATCAAGCCAAGGTTGAGGAGCTTAGCAAGACAAATGCCATTAGTAAGTTTGGCTTACATACAATAGACACGTGACAAGAAAGAAACCATTTTTTGCCTAAACCTAGACAATAACATAGTTAATGAGTTGTATTGTACTTTTATTTTGTCGCTAAAGCATGTGTATTCTATTGACTGTGGTCAAAGAAATCCAAACAACAAGAGAAACAGCGAAATATTCATTCATAAAAGACAATTTCGAATAGAGAAATAGTGTAAAGGTCGTATGTCCAGTTGCGCTGCATTTGATTAAATATGTTATTCCCCTGGGAAATAATGCGTTATCTCCCTCTCCAGGGGTCGAGCGAGCGACATTTAAATTTGTCACCCTTGCGTGATTCGCTCTCGACCAATAAAACGCTACGAGCACCATACTTTGACAAGTAGTATATAATAATCACCCTTGTTTTTACCTACCTTCCTTCTTAACTTCTGCTTTGTGAGCAAGAACAGGTGTTGCTAGTAAAAATGCGAACATGTGATATGATGAAAGAATAAACGACCAATTTTATTGTTGTGGCTAAAATTTAATTATATATATAACTATAATTTAATTCACCTCTGTGTTCTTCTTCTTCCCCGTGACTAAGATGGATGGTTTCTATTAAAATGAGAAAATGTGAAATGCAATAAAACGAATAACCATAGCTTTATCGCCTAGACTATATACGTATAATGCTTTGTAGCTACAATTGTACTCACCTTTCTTTTTAACTTCTGCTTTGTGGCCAAAATTACGAGTTTCTATTAAAATGCGAGAATGTGACTTAGGAAAAAGCATAACCAATTTTCTCTCTGCAGCTAAGTAATGCCTTAATGTGGTTAAAATTTATTTACCTTTCTTTTTTACGTCTTCTACGTGACCAAGATCACGGTTTTCTATCAAAATGTGAAAATTTAATATAAGAAAAAGTATACCCACCTTTATCACCGTAGCTGAGTAATGTTTTGACTTACCTTTCTTTTTTACGTCCTCTTCGGGACCAAGATCAAGAGTTGCTGATAAAAAATGCGAAAATGTGACAATAAAAATTGTGTAACTACATTTATCTCTGTGGCAAGCGTTTTGCAAGCGCACCAACCATTTCGAAGCGGGGAGGAGGGGCACTAATAAAATAGGGCACTTTCTCATAATAGTAATCACATGTACCAAAATTAACCAAATACTTCCATACACATATGAAGACAGTGACAGCGAAGTAGTTTCATTTAGCTACTTTTATTTTGCTACTTACAATCTCTCTTGAGATCATGTACTACTGTACTTCGTATTTTATTTTGCTTAATTATAATTTATTTACCTTTCGTTTTTACTTCTGTTTCGTGACGAAGATTAAGGGTTTCTATTATAAAATGTCACATAAAAAATTATGACCACCTTTTTCGCTTTAGCTAAGTAATGTTCTGTAGCCAAAACGTTTCTCTACCTTTCCATTCAGCTTCTGTATCGTGATCAATATCCAGATTTTCTATTAAAATGCGAAGATGTGAAGTAATAAAAATAACAATTACAATGCTTGGTATGGCTTTGCATAACATCACCAAAAGTAATAAGAAAACCACCTTATAATTTTATCTACCTTTCTCTTTGACTTCTGCTGTGTAACCAAGATCGACAGTTCCTATTATTAAATAGTAAAAAGTGTACAGTGTAGCCATATCTAGGTATTATCTAGGTAATGCTGTGTAGCTATTACTTCATCTATACCTTTCTTTTTTACTTCTGCTTCTGCTTCGTGACCAAGATCATTAATGGCTTCTATGAAAATGCGGAAACATTATATAAGAAAAAGTATAACCGCAATATTTCTGTAGCTAATAATTGCACTCGCTTGTTACTATTATTAAAACTACTATTATATATGGCTATCAAATTTTATATACCTATTTTTCTTCGTACGCTTTCCCCAATTGGTTGCAAATATCCATCGTTTTCATCCACTGGAAAAAAAGCTGGAAACTATTAGTTTTCGTTTTTTTTGCTTTTAGAAATTTGCTATTCAAATCAGTGTGCACTCTCACATTGTAAAGACTATACAATGCATCATATAGTATTATATTGTATTGCGTTGTTACAGTATTGTATTGTTTGGCATAGTATGGGATGGTATCGTTCAGTATTGTATTGTATTGTGTTGTATATATGTGTTGCTGTAAATAATGCATGTTTCCTTTTGAAATCATGTAACATATAGATGCAGGACCCCACTGAAAAACACTTCGGTGACGTGGGTATCCTGGTTAAAGATGAAGTTAATAATAATAATAATAATAATACAAAGACTTTGTGATTTGTGGTCTTTACTTGCATCAGATATTTTCAAAACCCATCAAAAACTGATATTTCTAATCCTGTAGAATTTGAGTCATTTTTTCATAAGCAAAATTTCAATATAACTAAAATCTCAATACGTCGCTTGTTGACCTAATTTTCATGTACTGTAGTCTATACATACGCTATTCAAAGTGCCTAATTTCAAGCTGCATCGAAATAAGCTCAGGAAAAACACAATAATAATTTTCAAGATGTATACCCATTTCCAACACATCGTCATAGTCTTCAAAATCACACGCATCACTGCTCGATGTGGCTAAAAAAAAGGAGCCAACCAACATGTAAACCAAAAACACTATAATATATTCCATCACAATTATTGCTATTGTTATAATGTAATGAAACAAGTTATTCCTACATTTGCATGATTTCTCCTAAATTAGTATGCAAGAAACATGAATTAGAAAAATACAGATTACAGTCTAAAAAAGATGTTACGTTCGCCGGTGATGACGAACAAAAACTGAGAACAGTGTTGAGCATTTTTAAACTTTTAGTGAACTACAGGAATTTAAACTTAACGAAGCAGATTAACATTATCATATTTCTTAATACATAACTTATCTGGTAAGAGTAACATAGTTCGATAGCTTGACTGATAACTTAAACAGCCAATAGCTCTCTAGTTGGAAATCCATGTAGATGTGTGTTGACATTAATCAGCTTAAATTAGCATCGTCAGGTGTATGGCTATTCAATTTAGCCTTCTTGTCTCTCTTCAGTATTTGCGTGCCCCTCGGTATTTCTTTTCATTGTGATGTTATTCAGGCTAATGCCTTATGAATAATGCATGCCTTAAAGGTTTGTGCTCTGGCTTTATATGCTTGCTAGGAGAAGAAGCTATAAAACTACAAGTCATTTCCCCTCAGTATACGCAATACAGTGCGTTGTAGCACATGCTATCGTGGTTTGTGGTCGACACCTTAATTGTTACATGTTTGTAGGATAATGTGTGGGTAGCTATTTGCTTTCTCATGCATGTAAGTTTAAGTTTACTAAGCTCATCGAATGTATCATATATATAGTTATAATATAAGTATGATATAACGAGCAATTTGATTTGCTACCGCGCGTGCATTGTGAGGCCATAATGCACGCTTCTGGCTTTTGAAGTTTTTGTTGCTAAGCAACATCTTAAATAACATGTAAGGAGAATTTCATTTTTGATCAAATAAATAAATTTTGTTGTTGCCCTATAATTTCTTCTTATATCATAAAAGAATTAAAAAAGCTCGTCGCGTGCCTTTATGGTGCAATAATGCACTCGGGGAAATGTTGGAAAAATACTCGAGAAGCTTGTAAAACACTCGGCTACGCCTCGTGTTTTACAAGCTTCTCTCGTATTCTCCCAACATTCCCCCATCGTGCATTATTACACCATAAAGGCACGCGACTCGTTTTTTAATTCTTAATTATAGTAAGTATATAACGCTATTATAATTATAATTACATGATATTACGGTATCAGGTAACAAAGAAAAGTCTATTCCTTTGCCCAGCAATAAACAAAATCTAATATTCAATAATATTGTGCGTTACGGCCATAAAAATTTGAAATATTCATTTTAACGAACAGAAAATCATTAATATTTGAATTAAATTTAAATCAGATGAATATCAGTATCAGCGGCAATGACATGTCAGCTTTTTCAGTATCGTTATGTACACGTCCTGAAAGTTCTATACGTCATTGTACTATCGTAAGAGTTTTCAATATATCTTTCTTGCTGAGTGTTTTAACGCGTAAAAAACTATTGAAATTCACTTTAATTATTCAATAATTAATAGATTAATCTAATTGAAATTAAATTCAAATATTAATGATTTTCTGTTCGTTAAAATGAATATTTCAAATTTTTATTGGCATATCGCACAATGTTATTTAATATTAGCTTTTGTTTAATGCCGGGCAAAGGAATAAACTTTGAATGAGTTCTCCAAGTGACAAAAGAATGAGTTCTACGAGTGTTTTAGTTGTATATATACATATTTTACTTAGAGCTAAAACACTCGTAGAACTCATTCTTTTGTCACATATTTACATCTGATTGATAGATGACGTCATTTTGAGAGTATATTATAAGGAACTGAGTTTCAACATCAGATCACCCCTGATAAAGACACTAAACCGGAGTGTCGAAACGTTGGGTCGTGAAAGTTAATCTTTGTGTGGTGATTACTTTCATTTATTAAAACCACAGTAGCGATAATTACGTTTTTATATCTTATATACATTATAATCCTCGCAGGAAGCTAAGACAGTGAACAATTAAGGACATGTAGGGAAACGGTTAGTAATTCGCACATACTTTAAAAGTATTAAACGTTTAAATTAACCTGCTCTTGGGCTTTGCTTCTATAGACTGTTCCGTTATGCTTATGGAACTTCTCTTAAAAGCTATTGAAATTTACCTTATTCTTAAATAATGATCAGTAATTGTTAATCTAATTGAAATTTAATAAATGTTAACGATTCGTTTCAAAAAATATTCTAAATAAACATTATTTACATAAAAAAGTTTTATGAGTGCATTGAAAAAAGTCTATGTACCCTCATTCAGCTGGTTTTCTTCCAAAACTCTAACCAACTTTTGAACGGTACCATCTGGAGGCAATCCTATACAAAGAAGAAATGAAACTCTATTTATGCATTCTCTCTAACAGAACTTCAGTTCAATTTTAAATTGACCTGATGAGTGTGGCAAGCACCGCTTGTTATACAAATCAAATTTGTAGTGAATAAAGTCATATGAAGTACCAAGACGATATAAAATACAATAAACTTAGAGTCTAGATACATATTCTATAGTATACTTATAAGTGTACTGCACCCCTTATTCTATGGAGCGAAACATTAATATCCCTTACCCCTTATTCTGTGGAGAGAAACATAGAATATTGATGCCCTGTTATATTAAACTTTATGATTTTGATAACTTGTAGGGTGGTCATAACATGTAATCCGTCTTTAGAAAGTAAATAAGGGCTGATATATTATACTCAAAATATTAATGTTTGTCTAACAAAGTAAGAATGTGCTAGCATATCAACCCAAAAGCAGTCTTTCGATTCTTTGGAGAGGGGTTCTATTAGCATATCCTTAGTTCACTTCAAATTTTAGCATTATCTCTGAGTGGTCTTAGACTAGGTTAGGAATGAATTCAGTCTATTTTACTTTTGCCTTTTAGGAAATTTTGACTCGTTATACTTTATATTCATAGCAACTTAGTTTTAATTTTTCTAAAGCACCCTTGCCCCCTACCTGGGAGTACTTGTTACAGGGTACTTGTTCTACATAACTCATTTGCAACAAACCAACTTTGGTGTTGGTAGTATTTAAGAAAATTTTGTGTCCTTTATAGGGCTTAATGTTTGACCTGAATATTGTGTAGCAAAATTCTGCTGTAAAAGTTTTTTTTTCTTTCAGCTACCTGCTTGTTTACTGGTCTTCACTCTATATATGGTCGGGTATTATTATTTTGTTTTATATTTATGTTTTTAATATAATCCTATGTCCCTGTGTAAGTAATATACTCATGTATAGGATTGAGGTTTTAGATACTTTGTACGCTACGCTGGGTTAAATTCGGGAAGCGGAAATCATATAACATATAATTTCAGTATGCATAATGTGGACCTTAGTAAGTGATAACAACGTATTATATGGAACACAATTTGAATATTGGGACCAAACCAATAGCGTTAGAATATAGAAAACACCTAAGTGCTGTACGATGCGTGCATGTTCAAATTTCAAGGAAACATGCATGCTTGCTATTTTGCCAGTTAGCTAAAAAGCTCCGATCAAATGCGTGACTTTATTATCTTAGATACACACAAATATGTTTTAGTAGGGCATATTAAGTCTATGATGTGTGAGTCAGATAGTCTAAAACTATATATGGTAATACAACCAAATGTTAACAATGGTGTGTTAAAACTTTTTTGGGAATTAGTAATAAGAACATCTGTTTCTTTGCATGCAATATCTAGGTTAGTTCCAATATAACTAGCGGCGTGCGCTCAAAACACGTAGCGTCTCAAAATCCAAATGTGGTATAACAATAGACAAAACAATTCTCTTTTGTCTATTTTATGCAGTTGTTATACCACATTTGATGCTAATATATCTAGGTTAGTTATACTTGACCAAAAGGAAGCTCTAAAGGGATGAACAAATACTTTTGTGCCCGGGATACTTTTCTAAAATTTAAAGATCAATGCAGTATGATAGACTCAATTGAGTATGATACCTAGTGTGATACTTTTGCAATTCCTAGTATACTTTAAAAAAGTTCCCATCTGATTGCTCTTACGTAAAACAGGTCTTACAGATTCAGCTTCACAAGACAATGATATTAGCAAAGAAAGTGGTATGTACACTGACTGTGAAAAGTAGGATTATTATAAAAGTTTAAAAGTACGAGGTATAAAATTTGAAATTAAGGTAACTTCTATCTTACATATCTTGCATTCGCGATTTTGATTTAAGATGGGCAGAAAGTAGGATTATGCCAATTTTTTATATTTTTGTCTTACCTGTACCCCAATAATGTGATTTCAGCAACGCTATATATACAGTACTTGCAATATAATTGTTATATAGCAAGTAGCTATAACGCCTTGCTGGAATGACACGGGGAAGCTGTTAAAGTTGAGACAAAAATATGAAAAACAGTAATGAGTTTCTGCCTGTCTTAAATTCAACTCAGCAACTGCAATATGTAAGATAGAAGTTGTTTGAATTTAAAATTTTGTCTCGTGCCTTATGTAATTCGGAGAGTTGCGACTTGGGAGGGTTACGACTTCGGAAAGTTATGTTTGGAACACCCCCAAATCACACCCACTTCCCTTAACGATCACGCTTATTTCTCAACTCTCCAGATATTTCTTCAACTAACATGGGAGAGTCATGTTTGACGTAACTCTCTCTATCGGTAGCATTATGAAGATGTTGAAGAGTCAAGAGTCAACAATTATCTTTTAACTCTCCGTGTTCACAATTCTAATTATGACGGGAGTTATTTCAATTTTGGGAAAAACCTCTAAATCCTAATATATTTGAAACTTGAGCACTTCACGCCAGTGGGAATTTTAATACTAACATAGTGAAACAAGTCAATGAATTGTGACACGACCGATTTAATCAAAACGTTTATGAAATTCCTATCCCGGCACCGTATAAAATCCATACTCTTCAAAAATTGCATTGTATCGGAGTTTTATCAAGCCTATTTGGAATTATCTACCTGTTAAAGTCAAACGTGAAATATCAAACGGTCTTTAATTAGATGCCGTTCAACCCAATTTCCAGAGGATATTATAATATAAGTGTGATATATAACGAGCTGTTCTTCTTGCTAAGCAACATCAAAAAAGACTTAGGTTAGATCTTTATATTAGTACGCAAGTGAGAGTACGCATTCTCATTCTGAAAATAATTTCTGGTAATGCACGCGCGTTTGTTAGATATTGCTTTTTTGTATTGTTATAGATTTAGTTAAAGATTTGGAGTTTCTTTCCCAAAACTGACATAACTCTCTTTGACATATTCAGAATCGGGAACACTAAGAGGTAAAAAACAGGTTAACTTCCTAACATCTTCATAGAGTTAAGGAGAGAGTGTTACGTGAAACACAACTCTCTCATCTTAGTTCAACTCAACATCTATAGAGAGCTAAGAAATTGGGCATGGTCGTTCTGGAAAATGGGCGTGGTTTAGGCGTGATCCCAATATAACTCTACGAAATCATACCTTGGTACTCTCTGAGAGCTCTCTGAGATAACTCTCCAGTTGATGACTCTCTCTTTAGTCACACCCGCATGTACCTTTTTTATCAACAGCTTTCGACTGCGGATCGATATTAATTTGATAGAAAGATACTTTTACAAAGTTTGTGGTTGCCCTCTCATCTTTATTAACGTTCACCGTCGTACCATCCCCTATGTAGGTGGGTCCTGGTCCATGTGATTCAACCCTATATTGTGTCTGGTGGCTACAGCTCGCATTCTCCCCCCTAATAACCTCATCCTCTTGGTCATCCATAAAGCTGTGTGATATACAATGCGCCACGAATTGAAAACTGAAACTTTTCAGCGGATTTAGGAACCTTAGACTACAACTCGGATGCTCGTCAACAAAAGCATGTTCGTGCTGCACAGCCTTAAAACCACCTGCAATATATAAAGGCGTTATATAAGCAGAGAGAGCACTCGATAGAGTGCTTTCAAAACAAATTTGTAGTTTTTTATGTGTAAATAGCCTTCTTAAACGGTGTATATAGCTCCTTTTGTTGAGCATTTTTTTAAAAAGAAACCACTTACCATATATATACCATATATATAGGTTGTCCAGACAAAATTATATATATATATATATATATATATATATATATATATATATATATAACGATCACGTGATCGATATAATTATATGTATTTATATATATTTGTCTGGACAACATTTTTGGGATATAGTTCATTTGGTTCGTTAAAATATTTCCAGACAACCTATTATTAGGCAATCCAACTGAATAAGCAAACTAGCTTGTAGGTACACCACGTAAGTATTTTAAATATGCACCTACAAGCTAATTTACGTATATTGGTGTCACCATGCAAACTTACAAGCATATTAATCCAACTGAAGTCGCTAACATCGTTTACTTATTAAAATTTTCTCAGCGGTGTTCTCATATGCTCGATAGATATTTATTTATTTGATTTATTAAATAATCGATTATATACAAGTTATAAAAAACATAGGACCGTTTATTTCCATAATGATGTAACATAGATTAACGACCAAACGTGATACATTTAAGTGGTACCAAATATCGTAGACATATATCGATTAATAGGTTGTACCAAACGACCAAACTGACTAGCTGGCTCTCACTTCCTTCACATCATTGTCTGAATTAGATAGGGGCATATATGCTTGCGCGGTCAGAATTTCTGACTTGAAAGCATTTATCTTAGGCACAAAATTGTGGCAAAACACTGGGGCTACATAATTATTTGCAATGGGCAACATGAACATAGTAGTGAATAGTGATTTCATAGTAGCGAATAGAATTCATATTAACTTCCGTAGACAAACATAATACATCACTCGAAGTTCATGTCACAAAATCCTCAAATTAGGCATTAAAATTCATCATTTCTCTGATTTCAAAGCTCACCTGTTAGTTTGCCACCGTATAGGTCTTTAACATATTATCTATACGAACCATCATAGGCTGATGCATTGTTAGTGGTTTGTGTACTTACACAACTTCAACCGAGTTCTTAAAAGTATCTATAACAGGAAGTTCGTGCTCGATGACTTGGCAATAATTGAAGTTAAATTTCCTGTGACCAGTGGCGTACGGGAGACGATCATTGGGGGGTGGGCACATATTCATCAATTCATGTTAACAGAACTGTAAAGACAATAGATTTGAAAAGAAATTAATCTTGCACAACATGAATATATAAATCATCGTCTCCCGTACGCCACTGCATGTGACGTAGAGTTAAAGAATGAACCACTGTACCTAATATTTTAAGGCTATCCCAGGATACATTTGGGAACAACAAGCATATAACTATGAAATTCTGGTTTTCAAATGAATGTGCCTCTTTCTTCCACAATAAGGGCATACATATACGTGGCGTGTAGCATGGCTTTGAGCAATACTAGCATATGCTGTTACATTAATGAATTAGAAAACCTGCATTTTTGAGCATTCTGACTTGGAAATTGAACGGTCCACATTCATGTTTTCATTTCAAAATAGGGAATCCTCACTTGGAATTACGATCCTGACCGAGTTGATTATAAATTTCACAACTATAGCAGCATTCAAAATTATTAAGAAAGAAAAACAATATCAGCAAAAATTTTTACATAAGTTTACACTTTATTTAGTTTATTAAGTTGCTGATATAGGATCCTGACCGAGTTGATTATAAATTTCACAACTATAGCAGCTTTCAAAATGATTAAAAAAGAAAAACAATAGCAGCAACTTTTTACATAAGTTTACACTTTATTAAGTTGCTGAAATAAGATCCTGACCGATTTGATTATAAATTTCACAACTATAGCAGCATTCAAGATGATTAAGAAAGGGAAACAATAGCAGCAACATTTTACTTAAGTTTACACTTTATTACGTTGCTGATATAGGATCCTGCGGACCGAGTTGATTATAAATTTCACAACTATAGCAGCATTCAAGATGATTAAGAAAGAAAAAGAATACCAGAAACATTACTTAATTGGCGATTTATATATGACGCAATAACCAGTTCCGATTTGAAGCTGCTATAAACTTTGGGTAGATCATGTTTTTGCTCAGTTGGATTTTTACATTTGGGAGGCAGACTTTAGTATTTGTATCCTAAAGTTCTTGGAAAAGTACATGTTTCGAGGAGTTTTGTAGTCATATAAACATAATAATTATGTATAATATATAGTGATTTGAGCGACAAAACGGGACACGGGACTGTTACGTAAGTTTCCGCTTTAGTTAGTTCTGTAGTACTAGTTTCGTTTGTTAAACGCTGTAGTCAACAACCTACCACAGTTGTACTCTGCATGGCAATGATTTGATCTTTTCACCTTTAATATTGCATGCGATAGACACAAGGAGGAACTTCATTTTGAACTAATCTGTATATTTGCTTACATTTTTCAGGTTAAGCCAATCAGAATGCCTAAATTTTTAATACTTCAGGTAAAATGGCAGATGATTTAACTTTTTATCCGAAGTAATCAAGATTTAATTATGCATTCTGATTGACTTGATGAAAATGTAAAGTTTTACTTGCATGAATGAGAATCTTTTTCTCTGTGACATGTTAAAAAATAGGAATGCAAGAAATGTATTGTTTTGTTAATTATCGAACGATTGAGAACTTTTATAATATAATTAATACCATTTTGTCAAAGGGTACTAAGTTTCTTCCTGTAGAATATTGCCTTGTTTTCTCACTTGCAATGTAAGCTTTTGCCGTCGTTTCAATGTTTTTGGAATTTACGAGACAGCTGTTACATTGAAATTTTGCAAAGTGAATAAAACTTATAATATGAAATGACTAAAAACTCAAATCAGTCTAAATTATTGAGTATATTATTCTTATGGCTTATATTTCCATAATTCGGTCACAAATAGTCATAAAGTGAAAACATTGCCCTATATAGAATGCAGGTAAAAGTATGCGCAACCACTAAACGTCCAACGTCCATGACATAGAATTTGGGAAACTTTGGATTCTGCTATATTCTCTCACAATACCCAGGTTTTATTCCTAATATCCTAGCGGAATTAGTACCTTCGCCGGCGCCTGGCGCCAGCTTGGGGATAAATGACATACGCAAGATCTTGACTAAAAACCCAGCAGTTTTCTATATAAACAAACAACTGTTTTTGTTTTATCTGATCAGCTCTTGAAGAGCTGGTCAGATAAACTGCTCTTGTTAGATCACTCATAGTACGAGTTGCTATACCTCATTTTCTTTCATCGTTCAACCCAGGTATCACCATCATAGTTTTATCTGCCATGCAAAAGATGAACGTTTCTCCTGAAAGTAGCGGTGTTGACAGCGTTACTAAAGTGGTCGACGTCACATGGTACCATAAATTTTCCAGTTCAGGCAAAAAAATGGCCAAATGAATTGAGATACATATATTTCTCATCACTTCATTGTTGCTCATAATTGCTTTTGGCACATAAGAAACACGATCTTGTCAAAATTATGAAAACGCCAAAAACTACATATAAGTACAATATTTTCGTCTCTGGAATTGAATTTCAAGGTAGAAGCTATTCGAATCGGCATGAAATCTACTCAAATTTCTAAGTCGGGTAACTTATAGCTATATTTAGATTACACCAACGTTAACCGGATTAACATGAAACCCAGCAATTAACTGATTTGGTACGTGGCCATTTTCCCTGATTCCTGACTCATAAAGTGCGTTTTTGTTTTTGAGGCTAGCGCCTTATGAATAATGCATGAATTGTCGAGTTGTACCCAGACTTTTATATCGCTTGCAAGGAGAAAAACTATGACATATTTCCGCTACGCAATACAGGGTGAATAAGCAAGTAAACAACAACAACGGTTATCCCCAAACCAAGCCATGTCGGTTACGTTGTTGGTTTGCGGAAAGAGGTTCTCCGCAACTATTTTCTTACTCATGCATGTAAGGTAAACAGGTTCATTGAATGCATGTATAATATTATAATTACATGATATTGGGGTATCTAATAACAGCCGGTAACGGATCCTTAAAGTGAATTGACTATCGCTCACACATTCTGCGTTCATTAATTTCTTACTTTTACTTTTTTTTTCGTTAGTTTAGCGCCAATTGCGACAAGAAAATAACAATATTCATATTTAATTTTGTATACCGTAGAATAATTATAGAACTTTTAAAAGAATACTTTAGGCACGATATATTACAATTCGGTATATCTTGTGCTTCCAGCTATCACTTTGAAAGCGACGTGTCTCTCAATTAAAACCACTCAAACATTCTCGCTGCATGCTTGTGAAATTTTAAAATTTATTCATTCTGGCCGTTCGGAAGCACTTCTTTGATAACATCCTTCAGTTCTTGTAAGGCACACGTCATTTCCTATGGATCATATGATTGAGCAGATATCGGCAAATTGAGGCTTTTTATTACTTTTATTACTCGTATTTAGTATGTTATTGAATGTGAAATCCTAATAATAACAATAATCTTTATGCTCTTCATTTATTTCATTATACTTTGAGAAATTCCACACAAGTTTGATTCGAATTCACACAAAGAGTAAATTGCCAAAGTATTGTTGAAAGAGTAGCACAGCAAATTGAAATGTATGATCTCGTGCATACAAATTAGAGTTCTTTTTTTATACACCTTGTACGGGGTGTTCCAAACAACCCAAAACTATTGAAACCACCCATAACAATGTAATAGTCAGATTTTGAATGCCTGAAGCACCTTGTTGGGATCCACAAGTGTATAAATGTCTCACATAAGCATTTTATAAATTTTAAGC